TGTATTACATCCAGTTTTCCTGGTTATGGCAGGAAAGCAGTTCCCTGAGGTGACTCATGGGCAGAGGGAGCACCGACATTCATTTATAAATACACCAATGACATGCCAAGGCTCATTAGCTTCACAACCAAATGAAGTGACGAGCGTCCACGAGTGCACAGGGCTCCTCGGGAAATGGCTGGCCCTAGGGAAGGGCAGGAGAGGCACCGAGGGGCTGGAGAACGACCGAACCGATTTCTGAGTATCTCGGCTGAATGAATTGTTTTAGAAATCCAATCACAGAAATGCAAATGGGTGGTTCTCACACAGTTTCCTTACAGCAGAGGGACCCTTTCTTTAAACAAAAGCTTTTAAGGGTGACAACAGGTGAAACATTTAATATGGTCTCTCCTGATGAGAGCTGGGGAATGGGGGGGCCTGAGTGCTGGGGCCTCAGAGGACCCCAGAGCACATCACGGCCCCCAGGGAGGGTGTCCCCGCACCTATCACTGACCCCAGAATGGGTGCACCCCAAGCATATGACAGCCCCCCAAGTGGGTACCCCCGGAGCACATTATGACCCCCAGGGAAGGCATCCCCAAGCATATCACAGACCCCAGGGTGGGTGCCCCCAGGGTGCATCAAAGCCCCCGGGGAGGACATCCCTAGCATCTCATGGACCCCAGGGTGGGCACCCCCAGAATGCATCACAATCCCCGGGGGTGGGTGTCCCCAGAACACATCACAGCCCCCAGGGTGGACATCCCCAGAGTGCATAACAGCTCCTGGGGTGGGAGTCCCAGAGAGCATCATGACCCCTAGGGTAGGTACCCACAGGGCATATCATGGCCCCTGGGTGACCCTGGGGGGCAGGGTAGGTGCTGCGTGATCCTGGTCCCGTGTCCAGCTCCCGCCACTGCCCCATCCTGTAACCATCTGGACACAGAGAACGGGCAGTGTTCCATGTTAACGCCAAGGGGAAGAGCCAGCACCCGCAGAAAATGAAGGAAGCTCCTAGGAGCATGAAACAATGAGTCATTTGTATTTATCCAAAGAAAGGGCTCATGAAGTCTTAAGTTTAAACAGATAAAATCAGACTGGGGTGGGGTGGGAGGAACCTCCCGAGGCTCCTTGAGGAACTGCCTGGTACTGACTGAGGTGGGGCAGGGACAAGGCGCAGGTGCTGGTCTCTCCTTCTGGAACATTCCGCCACGTGTTTCTGGGGGTGGATGGCCCCCCTGCAGGCCGAGCTCGACCAGCACCACCCTGCCCACTCTTCTGTGAGCTGCCCCTGGCACAATGCTTCCTGAGAACCCAAGGACGCGCCCAGAGTGCTCCCAGTGACCACTGAGTGGGTCCCACTGGGAGACCCGCAAAACCGTCAATGTCCCTTGGGCTAGTAGCTGCGCGTACCTTCAGTGCTGAAGTCATGCAGCGGGGCTGGTAGACTAGGTGGTCTCTGAGTGCAGTCAATTCTGTCAGTGAGGGAAAGCACTGGAGGACAGCCCTGCCCGAGGCGTAGCCGCGGGAAGGGACGTGTCACTCTGCCCAGCAGAGACAAAGGGTGTGTGGTGTCTCACAGAACCGTCTGGATCCACGCATCCCCGCTGTACAGATGGACACTGAGGCTAAGGAAGGTTAGAGACGTTGCCCGGTGTCAGACAGCCGTTGAACGTGGGGTAAGGAAGAGGAACCCAGGCCAGAGCTGGCAACACTGAAGACCAGGGCTGTTTGGACAGCGGCAGACAACTCACCAAGGGCTCTGCTCCTACAGAATCGGGGGACCCACATTGCTGCCTACCTCGAAAGCCACAGAGAGGACTGGGCATAGAACAAGGAGCAGGAGGAGGGCGCTCAGTCAGTTGGCATGGCAGAGTGGGGGGGCGCCGAAAGGCACTGCAGGAGATGGGGCTCAGTCAGTGCAGGAAGTGGGTGCTCGGTCAGTCAGCAAGGCAGAGTGGGGGCGCCAGAAGGCACTGCAGGCCTGCGTCTGGGGCCTCTCAGCACCAGGACTGGGCTTTGTGAGTGAGGGCTGAGGGTGCAAGGCAAGGGCCGAAGGTTCCTGCATGGGTGTTCCCTCAGGCGGGCTCCTGAAGCTGAGATGCATTCACTGCCTTACTTTGTGCGTCTTTTTCTCTGTGCATTATCCGATATTTGGCCTTGTGCACGTTTGACTCAATCAGCAATGATCAGATAAAATTCCCTGTGAAGTTCTTTCCTTTTACTCTATCCTGGGGATGAACAGCAAAATATGTTCACCTATTAAAAATTCATAAAGACATCAAATCCAGCAAGGGAATCTGTACCTGACAAGATGACTGTTGACCCAGGACGCCTCTGGTGTTGGGTGGAGACCATGCGCTTGGGGTCAGCCGGCCATTCCCAGACCTGCCCCTGTAACCAAATGCGAGGCCGCGGTTACACAGCCCCCTGCAGTCAGTTTCTGCATCCATGAGATGGGGAGGAGGACAGCCCTGCCTCACAGGCTCTGGGGAGGGTTACCTGAGACCACGCACGCAGAGCCCCAGTTACAGTGCCCAGCACCCAGGAGGCACGCACTCAGTGTCATATTCTACACTGTAGGAGGCTGAGGCAGGAGGATCACTTGAGCCCAGGAGTTCAAGACCAGCCTTGGGAATACAGTGGGACCTTATCTCTACAAAAATAAAAATAAAAATAAATAAAATTAGCTGGGAGTAGCAGCTCACATCTGTAATCCCAGCTACTCAGGGGCCGAGGTGGGAGGATGGCTTGAGCCTGGAAGGTGGAGGCTGCAGTGAGCAGAGATCAGGTCACTGCACTGTGGCCTGGGCAACAGAGCAAAACCCTGTTTCAAAAAAAAAAAGTCAGATTTAAAAATTGGCAAAAGGTTTCTATGCCTTACAAACAGCCCATGAGATTCCTCTCATCCTATCACCCATGAAGTATTAAGTAGGTCTTGACTGGAGTTCCTGCAGTCTGGTCCAGTCCCTTATACTAGCAGCTGTTTGATGGCTGACAAGTTACTCACCCGCCCAGTGCTTACAGGAGAAGGCTGGGCTCCAAGACCCAGAGGCTCCAACCTGGCTGATCCTATCCTGAAAGCATGAAATCCAGGTGCATCAGCTACTCCAGGCAAGTTCTCCAGGAAACTCAGGGCATGTGAGTGGAGAGCTTGGGAGCTGAGTTCTTCCTCAGCTGCTGGGACAGGCAGAGAGATCAGAAGCCTTGGGTCTACACTAGCAGGGAGCAGCTATTTTTAAGTGACATGTCTCAGCTATTTCAAGGTTTGGGTTTTTATTTTATTTATTTATTTCTGTACTTTCTCATGACTCACATATTTCAAAATGGTGTCTCGGGCATTTTTAATGCTGAAATCATCTCGACTCCACAGCTGGTCAAAAAAATAGTCTAAGAGCAAATCAGCTCTTTATCATCCAAATAAAAAAAATGTACATATTAGAGTAATCAAACAGCCACCGCTGGAAGAAACCCATGTTAGTATTTTTCCATTAAAAATTTAACAGCATTCAGTTTAGGAAATACGTGTATATTTCCTCAAATATGCTCTGAAAGACTCTGAATTGGTATGGCACAGATGCTATGAGGCGCCTCTGCAACAGGCTTCCCACATCACGGAGCAGGAAGCTCCCTGGCAGGCCGCCGAGGGGCCGAGTGTACCTGAGGCCCTGCACCCCACCTCCTCTACCTGCACCAGCTCTCCTGGGTGGAGGAGCCCACGCGGGCCTCTAGACCCGTGCCTCAGGCTGCAGCAGCCCACATTATTCACATTCAGTGGACAAAGGATCACTCAGCATTCAATCTCACCGCTTCAAAAAATTACAGAGGGAAATGGCACACAGAAGTCGGAGTGCGATTCGATGCAGTTCAGTTCTGAGAAAGACCCTCCCCTCAGCCAGGGCTGGTAGTGCCTGAGGATCCCCTAGGCCTGACCAGCCCACACAGCACGCAGGTCGGGTGTGGGGCCTCTCTGCCCTCACCAGGGTGGCAGACCACAGTTCTCCAAGAGGTGGGTAAAATTCAAATGGCCAGCAGGTGGGACACTCGGAGGTGGCGTGAGGCTGTTCAGAGGCCCTGGGAGGGAGGTTTATTCTTGGCCGCACGAGGAGGTGAAATTGCAATCATGAGCAAGGGAGGTGGCCCTGGTGGCTTTATCAGCTGGAGGGCAGGTAAGTTTGGAGGCTTCTGAAGCGAGGGCAGGTGCTGGGGCCTGAGGCTCAACCAACACTTGGAAAACTATGCGCTGAGGGCCCCCATCTGAATGCTTGGGACCAGAAGAGTTTTGGATTTCAGATTTTTTCAGATTTTGGAACATCTGCAGATAGAGAATGAGATATCTTGGGGATAAGAACCAAAGCTAAATACAAAATTCATTTGTGTTTCATACATACCTTGTACACACTGTCTGAAAGTAACTTTATAAAATACTTGAAATAATTTCATGCATAAAACAAACTTTTAACCGTGCCTGGACTGCAACCTGCCACACGAGGTCGGGTGTGGAAGTTTCCGCTTGTGACTTCATGGCGCTCCAAGGGTGTTGGATTGCGGGGCACTCGGGATTTCAGACTTCCAGATACTCAATCAGTACTTGGATTCCTAATTTACATGTCAGAAATGCCTGCTATTTCTTGGGTTGACATTTCTTTCTGCAAATGTCTGAAATTCCTAAGTTAAATTCTCTATGTATCATCCACATGCTACTAAGCTATTATGAAATTTCGTATTTGAAGCTGGTCAGCTGCAAAAACAAGAATATTGCTTGTTTCAACTCAGGATGACAGGTTATTACCTAAAGGACACACAATAGCTAGTATAATGCCTTCAAACTTAAAGAAAAGTATGTATCCGTGGGTAAAGAAAAGCAGTTAAACCAGAAACTTCCATAAAAACATGTCTAGTGGAACTGAGCTGATTGCCAAAGTGTGGGAGAAAAAGGGCCAGCAAAAAAATGGTTAATGCTAGCCTTCTGAGGAGGAGGCCTCCCAGAACCCAGCCAGAGAGGAGCAGGCGGAGGGGCCTATAAAGCCTGGTGCCAAGGGGCGAGACTCACTGGCTCAGAGGAGGACTCGCCTGCCAGCAGGGAAACTTCCCTCCAGCTCCCAGGGCGGGTCTCGTCCTCTCTCCAGCCCTGCTCAGGCATTTGGCAGGTTCAGGTCCGGCAGAAGCACAGCTCCTGCAGCTCCAAGCACACCTCCAGCCTGATGGGACCAACTGAGGAGGCTCCCAGGAGCACAGGAGTGGCTGCAACCCAGGTAGGACTCAGCCTCAGGCTCCGGGTTCTGGGGCCTGCCGGTGCCGCCCCACTGACTAGGGGCACAGGGGGTGGTGCCACCCAGGCCACTGTCCTGTTATGGGATCAGTTGGACGCAGACGTGCACTGACACCTCACCCTCTGGTGGCAGCTGCACCCCACTTCCCAAACTCAAGGCACAGACCCCTCTCCCAGTGAGCTCCCGTGCTCTCAGCAGGGGGCTTTGCCTGGATGGCCACAGCAGGGGGCTTTGCCCGCCTGGCCTCTCTGAACGGGTGCTGAAAGCAGGGCCCAGGATTCCATCACATTCTATCCTAGCAAGAACGTGTCTCACTCAGGAAAGTGAGGGTGCCTGCTCTGCCCTGCACCGTGGTGCTCCGTCACCCTCACTAACCTTGCAGTCCTGGAAGCGGCACACGCCTCTTTACAGATGCAGACTTAATACGGCTGCCTCCAGCGTTATGTTTCTATGATAAGCAGAGGAAATCTGAGGTGAAGTCTAGGACTGTTAGTAACTCCATGGCCACCTCGGGGTCAGCGGGGAGCTGCACACTTGGCTCCTCTCACCCAGGACCACATGAGACACTAGGACATATCAGAGAGACACGAGGTACCGTGTCTTCTCAGTGTCCGCCAAGGACCAAAAGACTCAACTTACATGGGAAAGAAATGAATGGCCCATTTATTTTTCCCTCGGAGTTCATTTAACAAAGTTAGGGAAGAAAAGAAACATATGTTAAGGGCTCTGTCCACCTTTGAAATGCCTGCCACGCTGCAGTCTAATACTTTCCAAAATTTCTACATGTAAAGAGCAAACCAAGCCCTCTGTGCCGTTTTTAAGAAATTAAATACAGAGGCTAAATATAGAGGCTTTCAACCTTCCTGACAGAGCCTGAGAACAGAAGCATTTATGCTGCTCAATGCTATTACCTACTAAAGATGAATCAGGAGTGCAAAATAACCAATAAAATCAAATCTATCAGCCACAGCTAAGTGAAGGTTATTGGATACTTTTTTTTTAAATTGCATTTTAGGTTTTGGGGTACATGTGAAGAACATGCAAGATTGTTGCATAGGTACACACGTGACAGTGTGATTTGCTGCCTCCATCCCTATCACCTGTATCTGGCGGTTATTGAATACTTTTAAAATAACTGACACCAAGGCAGGGATTCATCTTGTCTTCCCCTACCCTTCTCTTTTGAGACGGGGATCTCACTCCAGTTGCTTAGGCTAGAGTGCTGTGGTACAATCTCGGCTCACTGCAGCCTCAACCTGCTGGGCTCAGGCAATCCTGCCACCTCAGCCTCCTGAGTAGCTGAGACTACAGGCATGCACCACTGTGCCCAGCTACTCTGTATTTTTTAAGTAGAGACAGGGTCTCGCCATGTTGCCCAGGCTGGTCTCAATCTCAAACACTTGGGCTTGAGCAATCTTCCCATCTCATCCTCCTAAAGTGCTGGAATTACAGGCAAGCCTTTTTTTTTTTTTAAAGGTATTTTCAGGCAATAGGTCAATAAATCTCTAGTCTGGTTTTGCGGCACTTCAAAACAATAACACCTGGCTGGGTGTGGTGGCTCACACCTGTAATCCCAGCACTGTGGGAGGCCGGGGCGGGCCAATCATTTGAGGTCAGCAGTTCGAGACCAACCCGGCCAACATGGCAAAACCTATCTCTACTAAAAACATAAAAAATTAGCCAGGCGCAGTGGCTCACACCTGTAATCCCAGCACTATGGGAGGCCAAGGTGCACAGATCACTAGAGGTCAGGAGCTCAAGACTGGCCTGGCCAACATGGTGAAACTCCATCTCTACTAAAAATATAAAAAAATTAGCCAGGCATGGTGGTGCACACCTGTAATCCCAGCTACTCGGGAGGCTGAGGCAGAAGAATCACTCTAATCTGTGAGGCAGAAGTTGCAGTGAGCCGAGATTGTGCCACTGTACTCCAGCCTGGGCGACAGTGAGACTCCATCTCAAAAAAAAAAAAAAAAAAAAAAAAAAAAAAAAAAAAATCAAAACAATAACTCCTAATGATTTTGAAGGGTAAAATGAAAACTCCCAAAGGAAAAACAACTCAAACCCATTTTGAGGTGTTGGCTTCCTCCAGGGCACCAGCGCCACCTGGGCCGGGTAATTCGTTGCTGGGCTCGGGCACCTGTCCTGTGCACTATAGGGAGCTGAGTGGCTGCCCTGGCCCTACCAGCTTGCCCCTAGTTGCAACAGCCCCCATATCCCCAGAGACCACCAGTGTCCGCAGGCTGAGAACACCCAGGGGCCCGAAGCATAGAGAACTTCCAAGAACACAGTGAGACAGGGGGAGTGAAGGGATCCTCCCCACCACAGCAGAGCCAGGGCACCGCCGCAGAGCCAGGGCACTGCCGCAGAGACAGCCCACTCCTCTCCCTGAAGAAGCAGAGCTTGGGAGGAGGGAGTCTCTCCCTAGAGTTTCTTCCTAGGTTACAAACCGCGCTGCAAAATATATTAGGTTTTACAATAATTTGTTAAAACGCGGAATAAAACTTAAATATTATTTCCCAAAACAATGACCCCTTTCATTCTGTTACGGAAATAAGTTTCATTTCTGGCATATAAACATAGAACTAGCATGAGCAAACCGCTGAATTTCTGTGATCTATTTTATTTTAAGAGAAGATTCTGCTCCAATTTCCAGCTTTCCAGACCCACTCTCTTTCAAGAACACTGGGCTTTTCCTTCCGACCTTACTTCTTGCTTCATCAGCTGCTGAAATGCATTTTCCCCTCTCCTCACAAATGCTGTTTTCCTGGGGCTGCTGTGCCCACACACCTGTTGCTTCCTGGGCCTGCTCTGTGGCTATAAAGGGAAAGAACACCCCTGCCTGTGGGGGTGACTCACGTCCAGCCTCCAGCTGCAGCTGAGCAGCCATGGGACCTGCAGGAAAAAAGGCCGCATACTTCCCACAGGTGACTCTTCCACCCCAGCTCAACCACAGCTACCTCCTGAGCTCATAAAGCTGAAGTTCTGGCCCTCCCTGGGCTCCTGACATACTCAGACTCCATGGACACCCGGCCAGGGATGCAGGACTTTGTCCCAAAGCTGGGGCCACTCAATGAGACTTAGTTCTCTCCTGTTGCTTCTCCAGGTACCCAGAAAGTGAGGAGCTCCACGCAGGACTGCACACGTCGGCCAACACCCGCAGGGATGCCCACTGGATGAGCACGAGAGGGCCCTTGCCTCCATGGGCGTGCCATGCCAGCGGGCAGAGCATCTGTTTTTCCCACCCTCTGCAATTAACAAACCCAACCCAAACTGCCACAGGTGTTCCTCGTGGGGAGTTTCCTGTCCTACAAATGCCGGGCTCATTTCGAGGAGAGTCACGTTTCTTTCTAAAGATGGATTCATTGTTTGAAACAGATCTCTGGGAGCCTTTTGGCAAATCTTGAAAGCCGCACGGCGCAGAGACATGGATGTTACTTCCCAAGCCCAGGGCATGGGCCTGGAAATGTACCCAGGCACCGCACAGCCAGCAGCCCCCAACAGCACCTCCCCCGAGCTCAACCTGTCCCACCTGCTCCTGGGCACCTCCCTGACAAATGGGACAGGCGAGCTCTCGGAGCACCAGCAGTATGTGATTGGCCTCTTCCTCTCGTGCCTCTACACCATCTTCCTCTTCCCCATCGGCTTTGTGGGCAACATCCTGATCCTAGTGGTGAACATCAGCTTCCGCGAGAAGATGACCATCCCCGACCTGTACTTCATCAACCTGGCAGTGGCGGACCTCATCCTGGTGGCTGACTCCCTGATCGAGGTCTTCAACCTGCACGAGCAGTACTACGACATCGCCGTCCTGTGCACCTTCATGTCGCTCTTCCTGCAGGTCAACATGTACAGCAGCGTCTTCTTCCTCACCTGGATGAGCTTCGACCGCTACCTCGCCCTGGCCAGGGCCATGCGCTGCAGCCTGTTCCGTACCAAGCACCACGCGCGACTAAGCTGCGGCCTCATCTGGATGGTGTCCGTGTCAGCCACGCTGGTGCCTTTCACCGCCGTGCACCTGCAGCACACTGATGAGGCCTGCTTTTGTTTCGCGGATGTCCGGGAGGTGCAGTGGCTGGAGGTCACACTGGGCTTCATTGTGCCCTTCGCCATCATCGGTCTCTGCTACTCCCTCATCGTCCGGGTGCTGGTCAGGGCACACCGGCACCGTGGGCTGCGGCCGCGGCGGCAGAAGGCGCTCCGCATGATCCTGGCGGTGGTGCTGGTCTTCTTTGTCTGCTGGCTGCCGGAGAATGTCTTCATCAGCGTGCACCTCCTGCAGCGGACGCAGCCTGGGGCCGCTCCCTGCAAGCAGTCTTTCCGCCATGCCCACCCGCTCACCGGCCACATCGTCAACCTGGCAGCGTTCTCCAACAGCTGCCTCAACCCCCTCATCTACAGCTTTCTAGGGGAAACCTTCAGGGACAAGCTGAGGCTGTACATTGAGCAGAAAACAAACTTGCCGGCCCTGAACCGCTTCTGCCACGCCGCCCTGAAGGCCGTCATTCCAGATAGCACCGAGCAGTCGGACGTGAGGTTCAGCAGTGCCGTGTAGCCAGCCTTGGCCGCAGGGGAGCCGCGGGGTGTGACTCTCAGGAGCTGCACGCACTTGGGTGGACAGAAGGCATTGCCACGTCCTGTCTCTATACTGTGGCCAGATGTGGCTACCGGCTCCTTGGGGCCTTGAGAGGGTCATGGTCAGATGTGGCTACTGGCTCCTTGGGACCTTGTGAGGGTCACACTTGCCTGGTCCCCCTGAGGCTGCTGAGGCAACCTCAAGACAGGTCCTTCTTGATTTTGCAGTGCTCACATAGAATTGCTACAGTCAAAAAACGCTTGCCCTGCAGGGTCCAAAGGCCAACAGTGACTAGTCTGTCGCCCAGCTCCTCCCCACACAACCTGCCTGCCGCCACAGGAAGTGGTTCTGACGCCTTTGACCATGAAAGCCACACAGAGAGGCTGCTGTGGATGAAGTAACTTAGTGACACGGTGACCCTAAAGCAAATCTACCACTGTAGGAGAGCTGACGCTGGAGATACAAGGCACTGGCGGGGCTGAGCTACATGCCGCTGTGTGCCCTCTGCACCTGCAGTCTGGAATGCACGAGGTGCGAGCTACCACTGAGCTAAGGAGAAAAAGGAAAACACACTGCTCTGGTGCACACCTGAGCATCCTCCATTTTCCAGGACAGCAGCAATGGCGCTGCGTGGCCTCGCCATGCCCACGAGGAACACCAGGAGTTCGGCCCGTAGCAGCAGGAAGGCCTCTCTGCCAAGTGCCCGCTGCGCCCTCCATCTTCCAGGACAGCAGCAACAGCGCTGCGCGGCCTTGCCAGGCCTGCAAGAAGCACCGGGTGCTCGGCCCGTGGCAGCAGGAAGGCCCCTCTGCCGAGTGCCCGCCGCCTGCTCCAAGGCATTCAGCTGCTGCTTATTTACATCATCATGGCAACCGCACTCACGTGGACAGACACTGTGTGAGCGGCCGTGCGGGTTAAAGGGGTGCCAGGACAATGAAATACTCCAGGCAAGTGTGGCTGACAAATTTGCTTTTGCAGAAATAACAGTGGGGACAACTGCAGTGATGATGTAAAAACCTTCCCATAAAATGTAAGAAAAGCTGATGAGGCTGGGGATGCTCGGCCTTTGTCAATAAAACAGTCATGTGTGGATTCTTCCAGAGGCTCTGTCTTGGGGGTCTGCCAAGTGGGGTGGGCATGGGGCTCTCGGGAGCCCCTGTACCACAATCCCTCCCTGGTCACGGAAAACACAGCCCTCCCGTGCTGCCCTGAAAATTCTCACAAGGCAAGCCTCTAGGTCTGGCCGACCGGACCTAACCTAGCATTTCTAGGCTGTGCAAAAAGCCGTGTCCTGACACTTCTGCTGTTATGCTTGGGCACCATGACAAGCCTCATATGAATGCAGGAGACAGGGCTCAGCCTTTCTTAAGTCTCAGCAGCCTGTGTGACATAAGCTGCCTTTCTAGAAGGCGCTGGGCTGCATGCGAGGCCAAAGTGCTCTGTGGTTCCCAGGCACTCCAGAAGCGGCCAGTTGGGAAGGTTCCTGCTCCTCCTCCCACCACTGGGGCCTGATCCCAGCACTGCTCCCCTCCCTCCTGCCTCACTCACCTGGCAGCAGGCGGTCCCTGATGTTACCAAGGTGTGCCTGAACCAGCACCTGCTGCTCAGTCTGCACAGAAACCCGTGCAGGGAGTAGGAGGAAACCTCACGACTGGTCCTCCCAACAGAGGGCCGGGATATGTGGGTGAGGAATCGAACGTCTGCGCTCTACCCCTTCACTTCACGTGTTTGCGGTTCTATTCCGCTTAAAGCCATGATACTGTTTTTTATTTGTGATGACATAAAGTTTGATTTGCAAATACACTGAAAGGAAAAGGCAAGCCAATTTAAAGAAAACATCCGCAAAGGGAGCAGGTGGTTCACAGATACGGCACACCCAAAGCCTAAACGCAGCCACACAGCGAGCCCCCAGCTCTCTCTCCTCCTGTCTGTGGGACATGATGCAGCCACACAATGAGTCCAGGAAACTCTCTCTCCTCCCGTCTGTGGGACATAAGGCAGGGGAAACTCACTCTCTCCTGTCTGTGGGACATGAGGGAACCACACAGTGAGCCCAGGAAACCCTCTTTCCCCTCCCCTCTGTGGGACATGAGAATTTGGGTCTCTCAGCCGGGAAGAGCCTGTATTCTCCATGACCTCAGCACCGTGGTGCCAGGATCCTCTCAGGAAGAGGGCGCTCGGTCCAGACCGTGGCCTGCAGGCATAGCATCTGCCCACTTCCATCAGGGTTGCCTTCCCCACAAACACCCCGCAGGGAAGCCTGGGAACAGGGCAGCTCCCATACACCAGTAGGTCTCAAGAAAGTGGAGACTGCTGTGGGGTGGCCAAGCCAGAAGCCAGGCTCATGCGTGGCACAGTCCTGCAGAACACTGTGGGTGTCTTCAGCCACAACTCAGGCCCAGAGCATCCTTCCCTCTGCCCCCCAAGAGGCTGCCCTGCATCATCCCAACTAAAAGGACACAGACACCACCCTGACGGCCATGCTCCAGAGCTCCTTGAGGCCTCAGGGGTGGGACTTGCCCTCCTCCCAGCGATGTCCTCACTGCAATACCCAGGACAGCCAGGCATCAGCCCCCAGGAACCCCCCACGCCAGGGCGCTGTCTTTATAAGATGCGTGATGCACATAAGTCCACCTTTTGACCTCAGTGTTGTTGATTGGGAAAGACCATCCAAGTCCCAGAAAGCAGGCGGGATGGTCACTTTGCTACCAGGCCCTCCCCACACAGCATGAACAGGGCAAGGGCAGACGCTTTACAACATGCAGAGACTAGAGACCCAGAGTTTCTGACTTCCAGCTCTCACGGACGGCTGTGTGGAGACCAACACGGAGCATGGTCTGGTCCCTGCTCATCACAGCAGCCCCACAGGGTGAGCATGTCCCCGCCATGCCAATGAGGTGCCAGAAGGTCGGTCACTGCTCGAAACCTTAAATGGTGGGTAACACAGCCAGGAATTCAGCTACACTCTCCTGGCCCAGAGCCCACGGTCCTGCCCCGTCTGTAGCACTCAGCAACCTCTGGCGCCTAACTGGCAAAAGCACGCCATGCAGATATCATATGGAGCGGGGGCCACAGGCATCAAGGGGTCACCCAAGGTCACCAGCCCATCCTCCTCTAAAGCCCGCTATTCGGGAAGTGCAGGGACGGTGGGGAAGGTTTCACTAAGGAGATCTGGGTGGCAATGCATCTGAACAGAGCCCCAGGGGCAGGACTCCACTCATTTCTCCACGTCAACACACCACGGGGGACAGCACGGGCTGTGTGGTGTCCTTCCCTCCCTGCCGAAGACACGGCTTCCATCAGGGCCCTGCTCCATCTCTGGGACAGAACAAACCTGCTCCTTCCCGTCCACGGCAGACACTGTTGTGAGTGCGTGGAAGCGACAGGCTGCCTCTCTACGCCACTCCCCTCCACTGGGGTTCTTCCGAGGACTTGCCCCGAGGTTTAGGGCAGACTGAGCTGACACACTGTCATCTAGCCACCGGAAGCAGACTCTCGACTGCGAAGCTGGTGGCAGCACTGCTCTGAGGCTAGTCACAGGAGCGACAGGCACCCAGCAGCCACGTCACGGGGCTGCAGTAAGGGCAGGTGCAAGGTTGAGTGAGAGGCCCCCACACGGTAGAGCTAGCCTGGGAGCTGGGGCCCTGGAGTCCCTGACCCTGAGATCCCAGAGCTGGGAGCTGTGGGACAGGGACCAGCAGGCCGGGCAGGGACTCTGTGGGTGCTGCCAGACCAGTCACACACACCCTTCTCAAGCACTTGTCTGGGAGCCAGGGCAAATGTAATTATTTTTGGCAGGCGCACAGTAAGATTAAATCAAGGCGTCTTAACTGCTCTGTTGTTTCCTGGTAACCCAACTCTCCTATACATAAGTGCTTTTTAAATCCCATAAAGAGCTCCAAAGTATGTAACTGCAAGCATGGGAAAAACCCCTGTGTTGGTGGTGAACATGACTTCATCGCTCTTTGTGCTTAATAATTAACTCTTGACCTCATGGGAGTGCGCGGCCTACCCGCCCTTCCCAGGCCCTGCACTGCCCGCTGAGTGAGAAACGGCAGCAGTGGGGTCACTAACGCTCGTGCGCCCACTCACCTGCAGTCTTGGGGGGTGGGTGGGGCAGAGAACTACAAATAAACCTCCTTAGGAGGGTGTTTCTGCAGTGGTATGGGAAGCCATTCTGAGGCCATCCTAGACATTCATTAACTGGGCATAGAAGGAAATGCGTGGAGCCTCCTGAAGCTGGGGCTCTCCTGGCAGAGGATGGAGACAGGGCAGGCAAGGGGAGCCGGTGGGAACAGTCGGGGCTGAGGGCAAGGCTTAACCCAGACATCTAAAGTAAGCAGCACACAGACTATGCAAGTACACGCACATGTCTGTGTGTGTATATCTCTAGCGTGCTTGTGAACAAGTGTCTACGGTGTGCATGTGTTTGAACACACACAGACATGCACTCTCACCTGTTCCAAGTTCCATTGCTACGGCCCACCTGCACCTGGCTTGGCCCCAAACACCGCCATCCTCCAGAAGAGCCCAGGGCTCCGGGAGAAATAGCTGATTTGGGCGGGGCAGGGAGAGACAAGTTGAGCCTGGGACACATGGTTCTGACGGAGTCAAGAAAGGCTCTAACATGTCGGGCGACACCTGAAGGACACAGGAGACAGCGAGCAGGGCTCCCCTCACCAAAGCTGCGACAATGTGAGCAGTAAGATGAGTAAGAAGAGACAATCGTGATAGACCATGAAAATCAGGAGTCCACAAGTCCACTCCAAAAATAAACAGACCTAAATGTCATTTAAATAAAATGAACCAATGCATGAATGGGAAGATTCTCACTTCTAACAAAGTGATCACTGGTAAAGGAGTTGGAAAAGCATCACTCTGCAGTTTTTGGAGGCAGACTGTGCAGGTAAGAGTTACAAACGGAAGGCAAATCTCAGGGGGCGGTGAGACACAGGGACTGCAGAGTCCCCCTGTCCCCTACAGTTGGCTCATCAGTGTTTGGGGAAAGGTCACCACATAGCAGACACAGGACAGCCCCTTGCTGGATGATCACATGGGCAGCGCCAACAAGGAGGCCAGTCCAGATGTAACACCCTAAGAAGGGAGCATATCATGCTTTAATCTAGGAATACACAGCCTGAGTTTAATCAGAGGGAATGTCAGATAAACAGAAAATGAGGACAGGGAGCCAGGA